ACACTGTTTTCCATAGTGGCTGCACCATAGAAGAAGAATTTTTGATATGCATTTCAACCTTATTAGATTTTGTAAAATTTGTCTCAAAAGTAAATACACCAACTTACATTCTCACCTGATTCCTTCTTTTCCTTGTCCTTGCTAGTTCTTGGTATTGTTAGATCTCTAGAAGCTGACAATCTGACGGCTGTGAAACAGTCTCATATCTTTGGTTTAATTTGCATATCCCTGATGCCTACTGAGGCTGAGCTCCCTTATATATATATATAGGCCGTTGTGGCAGTGTATGCCCATTTTTTTTCTTATCAAGCTGGTTATCTTTTTTATTTACAAGACACTCAACTTTCTGTTAATACGTTGCAAATATATTCTCCTGTTATACATCTTTTAACATTGTTGACATTGTCTTTTGGTGTGCCAAACTCTTTAATATTTAATTTAGTAAATTTTGCCAATAATTTCCTTTGAATTTTGCTCTATGTGTCTTGTCTAAAAAAACCTCTCATGACCCTCATTTTGCTTCTAATATTTCAGAATTTTTGTCAAAAATAAGAAAATCCAGCTGAAAATTTGCTTTTGTACATAATGGTGAGTTTGAGATCGAATTTTATTTGCCTCTGTGTTGGAAAGACTGTTGTTCTAATACCTGAAGGTCAGTTCTTTCTCCAGTGATTTATAGATCTTCCCATATAGGCTGTATCTATTTTTGGACTCTATTACTATGATCTCATTTTTAAAATTCTTGCAATGATATAATGTTAATTATTATAGCTCTATTATTAATCTTAATATGACATAAGCCCAATTGTTCTCATCCAAGTGTTTCTGGTTCCCCTCGACCCCTCCTTCCTTTTCAGAGTTGTTCCGAAAATGTCGGGCCCTTACTCTTCCAGATGAATTATCTATGAACATGATATATTTCTCTGTTTACTCATATCTTAAAAATATAATATCTTACAAATCTTCTGTTAAACACACAAAGTGTCTAATAGTTTTTGTTGCTACTGTGAAAGTGGCTTATTTGATAGTACAGTTTCTAATTGCTATTGCTGGTACAGAAACATTAACTTTAGCTCACTGATCTTACATCTAGCAGCAACCCTGCTAAATTTTTAAATTTGAATAAATTTGAAATCTATGTATTTTTACATTTTTCTCTCAATCATATTATTTGATACTGTTCCAATCCTTAGAAACTCTTTTTTCCCTTGTCGTATTACGTGTTATAGGCCGAACTGTGTTTGCCTCAAATTCACATTAAAGTCATAACTCTCAGACTGTATTTGGAGACAGGGCCTTTAAAGAGATAATTAAGGTTATTAAATGAGGTCATTATGGTGGTCCTAATTCAATATGACTGGTGTCCTTTTAAGAAGAGATTAGGACACAGACGTGCACAGAGTAAAGACAAGACAAGATGATGGATAGAGAAGACAGACATCTACAAACTAAGGACAGAGATCTCAGAAGAAACCAACCCTGCCAGCACCTTGATATTGGACTTCCCAGCCTCCAGAACTGTAAGAAAATAACTTTCTGGTGTTAAGCTCCCAGTCTGTGGTTCTTGTTATGGCAGCCCTAGCAAATTAATGCACTACATCAGTCCATACTATAGTAGAACAGTGAGCAGTAGTTGTAATAGCAGACATATTTGCATTACACCTAATTTTAAAGAGAATTTCTCCAAAGTTTCACAAGTAAACATGATGTTTGCTGTAGGCCTTTGGAGGATTCTCCTTTTAACTGGTTAAGGACGGTCCCTATATTGCTATGCTATAATACTGTTTCATCATTTTATATTGAAGTTTATCATACATATAAAAATGCAAAAGGAATTTATATAAAATTGCCCCAGCTTTAGGCTTTATATAAATAGAATTATATCTTACATTTTTGTGAACTGCTTACTTTGTCATTATGTTTCTGAGATTCATCTAATTAAAGCATTACTGTAATTCATTTTTCACTGTTGTATAGTATTCACTGTATTTACTTGATACTGTGTTGCAGTTTTTTTTGGGCCACTGGAACAATCCATAGACATTCCTGTGAACCTCTCTTGCATAAATGAAAGAGTTTCTCTATGTATACACACTGGTGTGAAATTACTGGATCACAGGGCATAGTCAAATTTAACTTTATCAGGTACATCTACATGCACTGTTGTAGAATTTAAACCCAGGAGTAGAACTGCTAGGTATAGGGCACATGTATCTTTAATTTTAGTAGATACAGCCAAACTGTTTTCCAAAGTGGGTCAACCAATTTATACTTGCACATGAGAGTCACCACTGATTCACACCTTCACCAACCCTTGAAACTGTTCATCTTTTCATTTTCTGACTGACCGTCTGGGAGGTAAAAAAATGCACTTTCATGTGTGATTTAATTTGCAGAAAAAATTATATGCATGTATATATCACATAAATAAATTAAATAAATAAATAAATAAATATAAAAGTAGTGTGCATGTATAGTGTGCATATGTATACTAAGAGCTTTAACTTACCTGCTTGGAAAGTGACTTCCATGTTTTAGCAACTATAATAAACAAACATAAAAAAATTAGATACTAAATATTTCATGTAACATATATCAAAATTCAGTAACCATTTATAATCACAATTCATAACACTGAATTTTGTATCTAAAAGGCAAAATTTTTTTAAACTTCAAGATCTGGATCTATGTATGTTATATATTATGTTATGTATTTGTTTCATGTACTATAAACCACTTATAATAAATAATATCAGTGGAATAGAAAACATATTTTCCATAATCATTATCTTACTTTGGGGATTTCTGGATTTATAAAGTAAGTTAACTTACTCTATGTTCAATATCCAATTGGGCTTAAAACACAAATAATGATATTCATTAAATACACTGGAATATAAAATATTGACATAGAGAAATTATAATTTTAAGGTGTTACCCATGATCTCTGCTGTATTAGCTATACTAATTAGAGATATTAGTATCTCTGATTATAACTCAAAGGTCAGGTCTCTCTAGGGGAAAGGGAAACGATAGGGGCAAAGAGAAAAAGAGACAAAGAGAACAGGTAATGTGACAGAGAGACTCTTGGCCTGTTTTCCATTCTTTTTCCCTAAGAAGGTTATAGTTGAATAAAATACCTGAGATAACTTTCTTTTTCTGATTCCTCCTCACATGCTTGAAGACCTCAAACACTATAAATTTTACAGTATTGGAATAAACGCATAGTCAGTACTGCTGCTTCCTTTGCTCAGGTTTGAACACTGTGAATATCGAATGCCTGCCAGAGAATTATCTCCAGGTTTGTATGTGATTCAGTCCTACAATACAACTGTGTTAGGAACTGGTGAACTATTTCAGCTACATTACAATAATGACAACCAATAATTTTTCTACATGGCAATGTGGCTATTTCTGTATAATTAACCATAGTTAATGTAAATAATATCAAATTCAAGATTGTAAGATAGGCAGTTTTTGCTAAATAACTTCTCTTTTTTAAGCAGTATAATAAGTCATTTTAAGATCAAAAGGGAATAAATATGTTATAAAATTAAGCAAACTGATTTTTATGAAGATAGTTTTCTTCTCTGTGTAGCAACAACATTCTTTCTTGAACCCAAGATAGTTCATATGCAAATGTGTAATCAAGGGATTAAAAACACAGGTCTATAAGGTAGAATTCAGCATTTAACCTTAATCATAATATTGTATGCATTCGTTTCATAGGCATCTTCCTTTCCATAATGAACACAACAATGTATATAATATTTATTATTCTGTTGCTTTTGAAATATAGCAGTAAGAAAAGAAGAAAAATAAATGATACAAAAGTACACTCATATGATCTTATGCAATGTTCAGGAGCTATTTATCAAAAGGGGAAGTTAGACACACTCTTGAGTTTTGTAGGGTTTATGAGATTTCCAGGGTCAGTTATTCACAAAAGACATATTCATTCTGCCGGATATGTCACCATGTTCAGTATTATTGGCTTTTTTTTATAAAGACTAAAGAGCCATTAAGATTGTTCTTCAAAGGATTTTCTGATTTTCTAAATTCTTTATTTCACATGAAATTACTGCATATATAAATATAACTTAGGTGAAGAGAGATTTCATTCTTTGGGACATAAATTATTTCTTAAGCTATAGGTTGATGTTCATTATATTTTTAATACTTTTATATATGTCTAAAGTTTTTAACAATACATTTTTAAAAACTTAAAATAATACTTGAAGCTACATGAAAATAATTACTTATTTTAGTTCTAGAAAGAAATTCTCCCTTAGGTTCTACTTAAGTGGGTAAAAAAGGAAATTTTCTTGATTTACACAAAGTTGCAGTCAACAATCAGATATCCCAATTAACATTTATTTGAACTATAATTATTACGCAAATGTTTAAATAACATACCATTATTCCTGTTGATTCCATAAAATTATGTTAAAGATTTAAAAAAAATAATAGCTATGCACTCTAGTGATAATGATGATGATGACAATGACAGCTAGCAACATTTATTAAGTGCTTACCGCATGTCAGGTATTACACTAAACACAACTGATATCATTCAATCCTTAAAAAAAACCTCATGAGGCTTATTATTTTTAAATGAATAATTGAATGCCAAGGTCTAAACATGTTGTCTAACTTCAATATGTTTTGATATGTATATGATTTAATATTCAGTCTACGAAGCATATTTTCTATTTTAAGGCAGATATTTCTTTTTAAAACCTTACACTTTAAAAAAAGTTTTTATAAGTATCTTGATCTTTAGTGATGATTCTTAATTATGTCTTACAAGTGCTGGTTAGAAATTCAGTAATGTTAATTTGTGGTTGTTAAATATCTTGTGTTAATTTTTTATAATGGAAACCAGTTTTTTTCCTGCAAGTGATGCTTTTGGAATAGCTATCAAAAGAATCACCACTAAAGTCATTTCTAAGAAGCAAAAATCCAGCAGCAGACTTCCAGTGAATATATTATAAAGAAAAAATTCAACAAGACAATGAATTGAAGATTTTCAGAGTATGAAGTTTTAAATCATTAGGTGCCACTTAAAGAATAACTTCTCAAATATGTTTAACAAAAATGATAGAATTTAGTGCAAAAATACCATTTGATATTCCAAGATATATATGAATCATTTTTATTAAATCTATACTAACAATAATATAAAAATCCACTTTGTGCAAAATCAACTACACAAAAATGTATGGAACACATATATATCTACTTATATATAATGATCTTTTCTATGTACAAACAAAGTCTCTATACTCAGGAAACTTACTGTATTATAGAAGGACAAAAAAACACACAAAAACAACCAATTCCAAGGCTTTATGGTTATCTGGCACATGGTAATTAAGTACTCAATAAATATTTCACGAAGGAAGGAAAGAGGGAAGGAGGAAAGGGACATCAAAGGAACATAGAGAACAGCCCTTACTATAGCCTTCAAATTCCTCAAAAAAAGAGCCCTACTTAAATTCTAGCCTTTTGTATCATGACTGTCACCTTTATCCTCATATCATACTGCCTCCTTAGACAATCCCATCCATATACATTGTATTAATTAACAACCATGTGCAGGTGAGTCCCAAATACATACTTCCTACCAGTCCTCTCCCCTGATCTCAATGGATACAATCAACGGATCAAAAATTAATTCATTAAAAGCTAATTTGTGAAGTACCAATTTGCCAAATTAATGAAGATTTAATTTCTGAACTTTTATAAATTTTTCTTTCACCACCTAGTTATCTTTTTTGTTGCTGTTGAGAATGCTTAAGATAGATTTCCTTAGCAAATTTCAGTTTTATATAATACAGTATTATCAACTAACAGTCACCATTCTATACTTTAGATCTCGAGGATTTATTTTAAGGTTTGGTTTTGCCATAACTCTGTCTCTGAAGAAAAAATGGCTATAATTGTTCTGAGCTAAGTTAAGGCATTCATTTGACAGTTTCAAGCAGATTAGCAAACGACTAATTATTTGGGACCTTGATTTTCAATGAACTGAAATGAATGATTAAGAGCTAGATCCTACTGCCTCTTTGATATCTCCTCTTTTACAAATCTACATCATGTCTGAAACTGATGTTGTGATTTTCCCCTTCAAACCTGGTCCCTACTGTCAGCCATCCAGCTAAGCCAGCCTGAAATCCTTGGTACTCTTTACTCCATCATCACCATTGCCACCATCATTAGGAGCTTTTGAAGCCTGGACAAGAGTCTCCTCTCTAATCTGCTCACGGCCACTCTGGCCCTCTGCAGTCTATCTCTACCCTGAAAGATCTTTCAAAACACAACCTAATCATGGTATGCTCCTGTTGAAAACAAGACAACAGGCCCAACATGGAATCACTTATGCTAAGCCCCACGTCATCAAATTGAGACCTAATTACAGTGTCAACTCTCCCAAATGTGGAATCTTAAAAAAGTCAATAAGGAATTGTCTCATCACCACCAGTCAGGTAATCTGCCTGACAGACCCCAGCCATCCCCTAAAGGCAAGTAATCTCACAGCAACCAACCCGCTTTTTTGCCTAATATAACTTTCTTGTTCTTGCTGCTTTCTGCGAATTAAAAAAATTTTCATTTTGTACAGCTACCCAGAGCTCATTTCTATCTGCTAAACTGGATGCTGCTAAAGTCACAAATTGTTGAATAGAGCCAGTAAGATCTTTAAAATTCTTCTGAATCTTAAGCCACTACCATGATTTTCCATTACTTTTGGGATAAAACAAAAATGTTTAATAATCAGCCTGCAGACTCTGAATGATTTGCCCCACCCCACATACCCGTATTCCACACACTGTATTCCTCCTTGCTCTCTGCACTTAGAGCCACCCAGCTCTTTCTTCACTCAAATATATCACATCCCTTCTTGTCATGGCACCTCAGGACATGTTGTTTCTTCTGCTGAAATTTTCCACTCCCAACTTCCCATTCACCTAGGTAACTCTTATTCACGAGACTCATATTCCATGTTGGTATTTATTTCCCAAAGGAAGATTTCCCTGAGCTACCTGACTTCTCAAAAATACACTCTCACAGCATCAAGAAACTGTCTTTCATGGCACTATCACAGTTATAATTTGTTATTTATTTGAAAATTTCATTGATCAGTGTTGGCTTCCTCTACTAGACTGTAAGCACCGTGAGGACAGAGGACATTTCCTTTTGTTCCCCTCACCACTGTATCTCCAGTGCCTGGTGCAGTACCTGGCATTTGACAGGTGTCTTTGAGTACATGTCATTGAATAATATGCTGTGAGATGAAATGGGAACAGTGCATTAAAGCACTTCTGCTGCCTTCCAAAGTACCATGGTTGTCTTTGGAAAAAGCACTGTGTGATTATCTATTTGAGTGGTGAACTGAACTAGTTCCTTTTTCACGGAACACAATTTTTACTTGAAAGAACAATTGAGATACAAATTATGGTTATTTAGACCTGGGTATTTGGCAAGACATTTTCCTACAAACAACACTGCAACAGACGGAACACAAAAGCAATATGAGAATCCAGCTGCCTTCCATTAAGTGAGACATTAAAGTGACTTTGCAAGAATGCACATAATACCAAAAGAAGCTTGAGAACCACTGCTCTAACACAGGGACAGGTGAGAAACAATTAACCTACAGTTACAGTGCAGGAGCCATGGCATATTCAGAAGAGATACAGGAAGAACTCTTGTCCAGGTCTAACTTCAAAGCCCATCCTCTGAGTTATTCTGTTCAGTCTGACATAAGCACTGACTTGGCAGAATATGAGCCTATTATACTGAATATCAAGACTAAGGTGTTTAGTTTAATGCACTGAGAATGAAGAAACAACCAAAATTTCTGAAAAAAGATACCAGTAGGAGTTTATAAGAAATATTTGTCTAGTGACACTGTATATCATAGTAATCTTTTGAAACATATTACTTTGTTAATTGTTTCGAAAAACTTACATGGCTCTACATTTTTATAAAGAGAGAAGTAAAAAGTCTTACAAAATTATTGAGATAACTTAAGAAATACACTTACATTTGGGCTCATCTGTTGTAACAGCCAAAATGAAGTCATATGGAGTCATGAATAACTGCCCTTCACATTCTATGGAAGCAAATAAACGAAATCGCCTTTCCCGAGATGTAGCATAGAGGTCCAAGTCTTCAGTGTCTGTTCTGCCAAGAGCAACCTGAAGTTGAGAGCAAATAAATTTGGACTGTGTGAAGGAGCACCTTCTTTTAGAAGATAAATGCTGTCGATTATGTCAACAGTGAATTAACAGAGTGAAAAAGTGTGAAAAGACTGTCTTCTGGAGAACTTAATCATATTATAAATAATTACCCATGTGAATAAAACGAATTAATGTTCAAAGGCTCCTACAATGAATATCATTAAGGTCTCGAAGACTTTAAACTGGCACTTTGAAGGAAGTGTGATTCATTTCTTCAGTTTCATTCTCAGAAAACATTAAATTTCTGAGCTAGCAGTTTCTTCAGAAGGAACACCATCACTTGCTGAATGCCTACTATGATAGGTGCTCTCTAGATAGGCTTACTTATTTAATTAGGAGTCTATTCACTGTAGTCTATTAATTTTCTAAAAGAAGAAAGTGAAACTCTGATTGGCTGTTCATGGCGACCACTAAAGAAACCATTTAATGGTAGGGCTTAGATTAGAAATTAAGTTGCAAACTCTAGATCACTATAGTCAAGTTACCACCAACAATCATTCTGAATTCTACCTAGGATTAGGATGAACAGAATTAGGAGTGCATATATATATATATATA